GGGAAACAATGAAGATTTCTTTTGAAACTGAAAGTCAGGAACTAGTAAATATGGGAAGGTTCCAGTTGATGGGAAAGTCCCATTGTACAAGTTTTGTGTGGGAAACTAGAATCTCCTTTATCCAGGTTCTGATCCAAAGCAATTTCTAGGTGATCACATACCTTCTACTCTTTTGCAGCTCTTCTCGGTCTGTCCCACAAAAGCAGGAAACTCATTAGGAAAGAGGGCGGAGTGAGCGGGGGGGGGGAGTGCTTACCTGTGTCGTATCTGTTTGTTCTGCTTTACTTTAATGAGAGAAACTGACCTGAAAATTCTGGTTTTCTCTCCAGGTAGCAAAGGAATCTTGATCTCTGTCTCACAGAGCAGGAACAACTGCCTGCCCAGCCCACATCACATGGCTCACACATAAATCTATTTATGAGTTCTGTAAAATGTAAATCTATACATTTTTCTATCCTCATCACATGCTGTTTGTCAAGTATTGTTTTATGCCCTCTTTGATTTTACAAACAAAAGGAAAAAAAAAAGAGGGCAATGGGTTATTATTTCACACGGGGCTAAGTTAAAAAACTTTTTACTCCCTGATATATCTGGGAATGAGGGGTACTGATAAGCAACAGAACAGGTACTGAATTACTTCTGTTATCTGAACCTTTAGTGTGTGTCTGAAAATTAGAATAGAATAGAACAGAACAGACTTGCTAGATTTCATGCCCACTGCTCCATGGCTGCAGCCTATATTTGTCTGTAATAGGAGAATGCCCTTCTGCTGAATGTTTGTTAATAGTATTTAGCCTTGAAGATTGGGCTGACAAGAATTGCATGAGGTCTAACAAAGATAATCGTAAAGTCATGCAGGGATGGAATAATCCCGAGCAGGAGTACAGACTGGGCTCTGAGTGACTGGGATGCATCCCTGCCGAAATAGACTTTGTGGACATGATGAACAGGAAGCTCAGTAGGAGTCAGCAGTGTGCCCTTGAAGCAATGAAGGCAAACTATGTTGTGGGTTGCATCAATAAGAGAGTAGTCAACAGATCAAGGGGTGGGATTATTCTTGTTAGGACACACCTGAAATACTGTGTACAGTTTTCTTCCCCCCAGTTTGGACACGGTCTGAAAAATCCGATATGGTCTGGTGAATTGCCACCATGATGCTTTGAGCACTGGAGAACTTTGACAACTTAAGTGGCTGGATTTGTACAGCCTAGGAAGAGAAGGTTTGGGCAGGTAGTGAGTGTCTACTCACAGTTTTCCAGTAGCAATAGGTAGTTACAGAGGGAGGCAGGTAGACTTCACGAGGATATATGGTGACAGGAAAAGAGTCACTGGGAAAAAGGGTAAGTGCCTCTGGATACAAGAAAAAAAAATCTTTAATGTGAAAATAGCAAAACACAATTACTTGCCCAGAGAAGTGGAAGAATTCTCTTGGATTGGAAATATTCAGGACACAGCTGAGTCTTACGGATTACAGTAAGAGGCTGGATCAGGTCATCTGCCCTTCCAGCCTAGACTTGTCAATGTTTCTATGTTTCAAATATATTGTCCTTATGATTAGCTTTTTGGCTGCTGACAGATAAAGGCCCTTCAGCTCTGATTGTTATCCATTCTTTGCTTTCAAGAGAATTCCTTTGAAGATGGCAGACTTAACATCCATGTAAAGGGGAGGAAACCAGGATTCTGGTATGTAGCATGTAATTTTGCAAGACTATCATTTAAATGGAACTATGATTTCCATTTTGGAGTTGCCTGGTGTTGGCAGCACCTTAACTGCTAAGGAAGATTTGACAAAACTCTTTTCACAGTATCTCTGCACAGGAATCATGACTGATCCATGGTGGAATCTGCATGTGTTGGTACTAGCAGCAACTTCCTTCTAACCAGTGTAGCTGGTAGTTGTTAGAACTGTTCCTTAGAGATAAAAGATTTATATCCTACTGATTTGAGGAGGTAATTAAAGTCCTTCTACCTGCTTCTTCTTCAGTTCCTCCTCTCCTCCTTGCAGTGATTCAGTGCTCAGCTGATGTCTTGCTGAGACAGCTCGGCCATCTCAGGTAGTGGGAAAGTACTTACATTTTTCCAGAGTGAATTTAGTGAGCTGAATCTGGTCCCTAAAGTATCATGTAACCACTAGTTCCCCCATTAAAGGGAAGCAACTGGAATGCACAGTTAGAGTCGTGGAAGGGAAGGGGAGTGGGACAGGCTGCAATGGCTGTCATTTGATTGACTCAGCCCAAACCATTGGAGCAGAAGGAAATTCTTCCTTCTTTGATGGATTATGCCCCACAGAAAAGTGTAGAATCTAATACCCATCTTGTCCTCAGCAAATCCTGTTAATTACATCAAGGATTTCCAGCTCAGCCCGATGACTTAAGGCAACTCCCAGCTCTGGTACATACTCACTACTGTTGAATCCCCCCAACATTCTGTTGAATCTCCCTTGTAAGTACCTATAGAAGGTACTTATGCTTCTTTAAGCTGTCTGGACGGAGCTGAGGCACTTTTCTTGTCTGCAGATTCTCCTGTGGGGAGTAGGGACATAAAAACTGCTTTGCGCCTAGACCTTTTTGCTAAGTTAAGAAAGAGTGACCAGGGTGAAAAAAGTCTTCATTATTTGGTGGAAAACTACCTCTGTGATTGGAAAGGCTGTATTTGACTTGTGGATAGATAGAAAGATGTCGGTTTTGCTGAAAACCTGTATAGTAGTTTTTTGATTGGTGCACCATTTAAAAAATGTTTGTAGGCATAATGATGAAATACCATGATAAAAAAGGCTAGAAATGGTAAGTGGCTCTGCTGCATTAGTTGTTGCTCATATTATTTCAGTTTATTTCCATTGAAGTTCAGAGTTCAGTAACTCCTGTAGATTTTATCCACGCAATTCATGGATGACTGTGCTGAATCTTTATGATTTTTATGCATTTACAAGATTGATACTTTACGATCCAGCTGTGAACGCATTAGTTGAACATGTTTATGAATGTGATACCTACTGCTTTGTGGATCTAAGGATACAAAGCAGGATGAACTTCTATGAACTAACCTTTGCAATGTTTTCTAGCAACACAGTGCTTCTAAGCGAGGCCTTCTGGCCTCTTAGAAGGACTTCTGAAATATTTATCTCTCTGCTGTTTTAATTCTCTCCATAGTCTGGTTCAGACTGTCACTGGTTACAGTATGTGGGGATCCATACCAAAGAAAAATTGATCACATGGCTGCCTCAAGAAGTTTTTGGGGATAAAAAGATTCAGAAAATGCAGAGGGGCTTGGGAAAGACCTGAGAGACAGCACTATGCAGGGTTTGTTAAACAAGGTGCTGAAGTCAGGGAGAGTAAACAAGAGCATTTATACTGCCATCCTAAACTGTCTCCCTTTCGTGTGCAGTAGAGATGTTATTTTACAGGAAGCTTTCTGTTCTCTCTTGTTCAGTCATGCTGTGGAGACCTTCATTTAACAACAGATTTCTTTAGTTAGGACCACGGATTTATTTTTTTAAAATTCTTTCTTTGTTTCTTCTAGTATCTTACTGTCAGCCTCTAGGAAGCGTTTCACCTTTCCCCTGTTTCATCTCACTATCTACTCTACCTTCTGCCCTCACTGCTACTAATTAACTTAGTACCTACAGTAAGCTCACTTATCAGCTCGGTATGCAGAGAAGCTTGCTTTATTCCCAAGGGCTTGTGACGTACATACCACGGCAAAATTAAACTCATGGTAATCGCTAAGTCTATTCTTCCCTATAACCTTGTCTTGAAGCAATTTCTGAGAACCTGAGCAAGTACTAAGGACAA